TGGATGTGGGTGGAGGTGAGGTGTTAGTGTGGATGTGGGTGGAGGTGTGGGAGTGGCTCTTATTTCTGTTGTAACTGTACTCACATCTACATCCACACCCACACCCTCAACAATTTTGGTCTCCTGTAATCAGATTGAATTTCAGGAATGGTGAGAATTAATAAAATTCGATCAATGTCGGATGCACGTACTACGTTGAATAACGATCAGGTCTGAAAATTCGATTAAATTGATTGCGGGGTTGAGAGTGGTTTCACAATGTTCAACATCATGGAATATGACATATTTACATCATTGTAAGTAACGGTAACCTCGGTGTCAATGCAGAAAATAACATTAAATTTAAATATCAGAAACACAAAGAATTATTGTATATATTGAATAAGAATAAGGTAACCAAACATGATTATTTCATAAAACTATAATAGAAATAGTTTTCAGATGTTTAAATTTTCTTTTTAATTTAAAAAACAACACTCGATTCATTTCTGTGAAAATGAAAACTATCTCTGAAACATAAGTATTGATATTTCAAATCAAACAATACCAATATTGTTTATTTTGTTCTGTTTTCTATATAAGTTGTTACTCAGATCAATAAAGTATCCAAATCAAATAGAAACACTCAATGAATAATTCTAACAATTAATTTTAACATATATTCAAATGATTGCTCGATTTCATTATTTAAAATAAACAATAGACTGACTGATTCTTTTAATTTTTTCAAACCGATCAGTTCTTTTCTATTCCTTCCCTAACATTAATAATTCCCTCGAATATGATTTGTAAAGTATAATTAGCTTCCGTTGTTCAAAAAGACAAACATTTTGAAATATTAAACGGATTCGATATATGCAATGGTAATAGATCATCAGCACTAATATTTATTCGAAGAAATAAGATCACGTAAAAACAACTAAGAAAAACTAAAATAACACGAAAATTGACAGTTATATATAAAATAGATGAAGGAAAGAACGAAAAATGATTATAACAAACTATATTTACATTCTCTCTCTCTTTCTTCTTCTTGTTAATCTACTATTAGTGATACACGACTGAAGAATACAAAAGAACTATTTTCTATTATTTAGTCATTCTCGTCTTCACGCTGATCATCGACATCTCTTCGATACATAAGAACAAACGAAAAGTATTGAAATATGCAATCAAATGTGTTAGGATGAATTCTTTTCATCCTGATATAAATGCATACACATATATATAATTTCGATTATTCTTTTCTTTCTTAACATAGAACGTTGGTATAAAAGTAAATTTATCGAATTTTTTATAACAACTTATTATTTCATTTTAAATGGTCATCCCCTTTTCATTATATATTTTTACATTTAAGATATCTCTCAGCAGAATTTTTTTTATCAATGGCACTCTCACCTGTTAATATCTATGATGTTCCTATGGAAAAGTATGCGTATTCGCTCACAGGTGAATTAGGTACAACTAGCCTATCACCATGTGTAGCGGTTATTGTCATATTCTCTGATCATACAATTATGATAGAGCATCGATCTGATATTGATTTATGTGAACATAGAAGTGAGGCAGAAGTATTGGATTTATTGGAAGACATAGCGAATAAAGTTGAATATCCGGTAAGTGAATTTTTAATAATGAATATTGAAAATAATATTTCTTCTCCTCTAATTACTTTCTAAGATAAAGACGAAACGAATAACATAAAAACTATTTGCCGTTCGATTGGCAAATTATCTAAAAGTAGCAACATATTGCAATTCTATAAGTAAAACTTCATAAATGACAAAAACTATTTCTTTTGATTCATCTAAAAAATTGTTCGCGAATAGCATAAAAAGAATTTTTATTTATTGTTAATTTAGTTATGCTTTCATAATTGGTAAATGTGCCGGCAAGCATAAAAAAGAATTTCAACGTTCATTGGTGTCGATCTATGAAGACTATCGAGAAGAGAACAAGATTTATCAGACCTATTATATGTTCGACTGATGCACGATATATGCGGATCCTTAGAAATCATAAATGTATTTAGGTTCATAGAAAGCAAACAAGTGTATGGTAGAAACGATCTGTTTATTGACGTCTTGATTGCACATCAGCAACAAGATAATTATTATTTATTTATTCGACAAAGTGTTAGTTTATTTAACGAGGTTACCCACGAACAAATACAAAAGGATTGTGGTTACGTTGC